TTGTCGAGAAAGCCCAAGTCCGCATGGACGTCGCGCGCGGCGCTCATTTGGTCCTTGTCAAACACATTCTTGTACAGGTTTCCGATTCGCAAAAAGTTGTACACCTACGTGCAGCGCTGTGAGCTCGTGCGCCGCGTCGGTGCAGATGGGCACGCCATGCTGCACGTACTTGGTTGTAATCTTGCTTGTCCTGGTCCATGGGGCGGCACCGGTTATTGGCAGCGTACTTGAGCCCTTGGTACCAACTCTTGTGCCCTCTCGACGCAAACTCACTCGTGGGGGTGTCGACCATGTTGGCCCCGGGCGTTTTGCACCCTTTGCCGTACACGCAATACTTGTTCAGGCCCCACGGTTCTTCGTCGGGTCCGCCTTTTACCACAGGTTTGCGGCGGTAGTTGTCTGGCATCCCCGGCGCAACTTGAATCGACGACGAGATCGCTGCGCCGCCGCCTTCCAGAACATCGATCTCCGGCGCGCCGCGGCCTTGGTTCGGGTTCAGGCCGTAGCCGGGGGTCGCGTTGCATGCAGAGATGAGTTGGTTGGATGCCAGGTCGGGGAGATCTTTGTCGCAAGCGTCATACGACCAAGGCCACATGCGCGTGGTGGAGGCCGAGAAGAGCGCCCGCCCCAGGTTGCCCATGAGCCAAATGCCAGGCCACGTTGGATAGTACGCGCCGTCGATGATGCGATCCTGAGGCGTCACTGCACGCTTCACTTTGGTCTTGGGGTCCTCGTACTCGCCAACGGCGTTCGGGTTCATCGTGACGCTCTTGTGCTCGGCGTCCGGCACGTTGTTGATGGCACCGGGCAGCTTGGCCGACACTTCGATGAGCCCGCCCTGCATGCAAAACTTGTTCCACGACTGCATCATGCCGGCTTTGTAATGCTACGCCCGTCATGGTTAACGTGGACATCGGCCCGATCATGGTATCGCACCCACCAGCGTTCGTGTTTCAAAGCCAGGCACTTCAAGCCACTGGTTGTAATATGTAACCACGGTCGGTCCTTCCTCGACCTTGTTGATGAGCTTGCCATTCTTTGTGTACACGTTGGACGAGTTGTACATCTCGAGCGCGGCGTTGACGCCGTCGGGGATGTCGAGAGCTGTCCAGAGGTGATCCTCGCCCGGTCGAAAGGACCTTCCTTCGATTTGGAATTCGTCACTCATGACGAGATCCCACGTCGCCCCGCGGGACGTACGAATCTTCCTCGCGGACGCGGGGGTATCGACGTCTACCCACATGCTAACACCGGACTTTGTGGGAAAGCTGTCGTAGTCGTAGTCAATGCTGTGAGCTGCATGGACCAGCACCGCAAGGCCGACGGCGCAGCAGCAGCTTCGGCGTCGTGGTGGCGTCATCGCCGATATGAAATGTTTGGCGTTCACCTAACCAAATCTATCGGTGCTGTGGTGTACCTATCCGGATACGAGATTGATATGCAATACAATCCCAAAATTGCGCAAAATATTCACCCAATATTGGGGATTTCGACGGATTTGGGGTGCATATCACCTGCACGACGTTTCGAGTTATTCGGATATATCTGACCACAATGGATCATGGCACACACCCCGTTTCGCCCACACGCACGTTCGAATGGCCACATCATAACACATGCACTATACGAGTACGAGATCGATCTCTCATCCAGGCGAAGTGTGCCTGCTTGCCTGGCAACACATAATGCTGTTTATTTCTGTGGATCTCGAACACAGTCGGGTCCCACTTACGGGGCCGAGTTTACGAATTTAGCCAACCACTGTCGAGCACCCCAAGTTGACGGCACTGGATTGGCTATTACAAATTATTTATAGCCAATCAAACACTCCACAAAGTGACCTTTCGAGATATCCAATCACATTCATGGAAAAAGATCTTTCATGTTTGAGAAGGGGTCTCCTTGGGCAATGTGTTCCCCGGCGTGTAGTACCGGCGTGTGACGCCGACGGCATGCGCTTGAATGTCGCCGTCCTGTTCCTTTGGATGGCGCGTCGTTTCGACCATATCCTTGGCTGCTGTCACTCGACGCCTTCGAATGACTGCTGTGAGGGCGATTAGAGCCACGACGACACTGGCCAACACGACAGGGTACACAAACTGCGGGCCGAAGTACGCGTCGCCGTCCACATTCAGCGTTTTCGCGCCAAGGAATTTGGTGCATCGTGGGCCTAGAGTTGTCAAGGCATGCGTGGTTAAGCCATTCGGTCGCTAGTTTCAATTTGTAGGACATCCAACGCACCGCCGTAGCCTTTGACACACTCGCACCGCCGGTTGCTGCAGCGGCCGGTTGGAGTCATGGAACCCATGGATAGACAGTCTTCATGGGAATTGCACGTGGCGCCGCCATCGACGCGAATCATCGGGTTCTTGGCGTCCGTGTACCACTTGAGATGGCCGTCGATCCACTGCTTGGTCGGGTGCGTGGGGGGGTCGCATCCGATGAACATGGAGCTCTTGTCTTGGTAGATGCGGATGTAGTCGATCTCCATGTACATGGGGAACGAGTCGCAGATGCTCATCGTTCGGTTGTATTGGTACGTGCCAAGAGGGTCGTGGTGGGTTGAGTTGCCTCTGCACGCACCGACGTCGACGTTGGGTGGGGTTGCACCTAGGTGCACGACACCGTGGCTTGTTAGGCATGTCCATGCACGCTTGCATGCACGCGTACCCCATGCTTTCGCGAGCGCAACGTTGAAGATGATGTACAGAGGCTCTTCAATCATGAGTTTCCTGGGGTTGTAGACTTTTCCAGTCGGGTCCTGCGGCGGGTCCGTGATGGCGGCGGCGGGAATCTCGAACAAAGGCGAATCCATCAGACTCCACCGCACGTACCCCGATGGCCCCATGACCCTATCGATCGCGCATCAGCCAACGTCCACAAGCACCCAAGATGCGAGTTCCGTGTACCACTCGACTTGGTAAATGTAAAACGTCGTGTACGCTTCGTGGCCAATGTCCCAGTTGGCTGAAATCGCATCCATTTGGTACTCAAACTTGTCCATTTGGTTGGTGTCGGCGACGCCGTCCTTGCGCGGCGCCTCGCACTTGGGGTTCTTCGAGTCGGGGTCACACAAGTACGCTCCGATGTACCCGTTGGCGACGGGAAAGCACCGGCCGTCCGTGTTGATGCCCCAGTGGAGAGGCCCCTTGCCGTCGATGAGGCCCAGGTCCGCATGGACGTCCTTGGCTGCACTCATTTGCGTCTTGACGTACGAATTATTGGTGATCAGCAACGGGTTGGCTTGGGCCATGTACACCTATGCAGCCAAAACCATTCGCATGTCATGTGGACGTCTCGGCAGCGGTCAGCGCACTGTTTATACCTGGTCAAACTGTTGAATGTCGGCAGGGATGGGTGGACATCGTTTGTTCGACGCGTACCGGAGGCCTTGGTACCAGCTTTTGTGGTTGCGCTCGGCGAACGCGGACGTTGGCGCGTCGGCGATGTTGGCCCCGGGGGTGGTACATCCTTTCCCATACACACAATACTTGTTGTCGGCTGTCAGGTTGACTGGTTTTCGCCGGAACGAGTCGGGCATGCCGGGGGCGATTTGAATCGACGACGAGATGGCCGCGCCGCCGCCTTCGAGGATGTCGATTTCTGGCGCGCCACGGCCTTGGTTCGGATTCAAACCGTAGCCCGGATTGGCATTGCAAGCAGAGATTGCTTGATGGGGAGACAAGTCGGCGACGCACTCGTTGTACGTCCAAGGCCACATGCGCGTGGTCGAGGCCGAGAAGAGCGCGCGGCCCAAATTCCCCATAAGCCAAATGCCAGGCCATGTCGGGTAGTACGCGCCGTCCTTGATGCGGTCCTGCGGTGTGAGTTTCGTTCGGACGCCGTCCTTCCAGAACTCGCCGATCGCGTTCGGGTTGATGGTCACGCTTTTATGTTCGGCGTCTGGCACGGTGTTGATGGCCCCGGGCAGCTTGGCGGCGACCTCGATGAGCCCTCCCTGGATACAAAACTTGTTCCACGACTGCATCATGCCCGCTGTGTAGTGCTACGAATCCAAATTGATCACCCACCGTTTGCCGGACCTCGCTGGCACGTACGAGGGTCGCTGTTTCCATCGCTGGCACTTCGAGCCACTGGTTAAAGTACGTCACGTTCGTCGGTCCTTCCTCGACTTTGTTGATCAGCTTGCCGTTCTTCGTGTACACGTTGGACGAGTTGTACAACTCGAGCGCAGCGTTGACGCCATCCGGGATGTCGAGAGCTGTCCAGAGATGATCCTGGCCCGCTTTGAACGTTCGCCCTTCAATCTCAAACTCGTCGCTCATCACAAGCTGCCACGTTTCACCGCGGGACGACACCTTGGTCCTTGCATCCGACGGCGTGTCCACGTCGACCCAGACGCCGACGCCCGACAGCGCAGGGTATCCCTCGTAGTCGTAGTCGCGGGCCACAGCCGTGGCAGGCAGCAGAGCGAACGCTGCAATGGCGACGCGAGTGGTCGCCATGGTTGCGGCGATCTCGCCTGCCTCTCGAAGAATGGCTGGGCGCTAGTACCAGCATTACTTCGCATGCTCCGCCTGGAAACCACCAAGCCGACGGCACCAACTGGTCACATTCTTACAACCCGATCGCATCGTCTGGGTATTGATGCACCGCCTGACGATCTTGGCCGCAATGCCATTGGCTGAAATGGATGGGTTTTATCACGCTAAAAGAATGGATTGGCTAATGGATCCACACCCCCACCGTGTCGTACGTAGCCCATGAAGATGACACCGTGGATAACCCTTCTTTGAAGTCATCCATGGGAAGTACCAGTTTGTAATGTGCCAACGTTGGATATGTTTCACGTGGGGAGGACGGCAGGCCATCTTTGACGCTTGTTTTGTGGCTCCCATGCTTCGTACGTTGTGCTTTGGGTGTTCTTGAACGAAGGCCCGAGCTCGTATTCGTGCGGGCCGTTCAGATTCCGCAGGGGGGAGTGGAGACGGTCATGGCAGATACCCTCCCCGTAAGCTCGGGATCGACACCACAACCTGTGCAGCACTCCCCGATGCGCTACCAACTGAGCTAACCCGCCCCCCCTCGGAGAATGGCTTTGGGCTGAACAACCTGGCGGCGGCGACATGCGGTCGTCGTGCCGGTTCTGTGGGACCGGGATGGAAATGAAAGCGCTCTCGTAAAGAAAGTTGGTGGAATCGCAGCATGCAGCTCTACTTCGTCATGGCAACAGCGCTACACCGTTCGCTGCAGATCAACGGTGCTCAAGCCAACAAACTTGAGAAGGTGGATGGAATTGTTGCGCAGTCGCAAGTCCTTTCGCCGCATTCTTGCGCAGGAGCTGCGAAGGGACATGCAGGAGGTGGCGCGATCCCATTATGCTTGGCCATCGATGTACGAGAACGTAGGATAGCATTCGCCACCGCAGCGAAGGTGAAGTTGGGCTGCCCCCACACGAACGAGCTGGTCGGGTGTATCGCCTTTGGACGGGCGGGGCAGGGACTTCGGCGCAGGATCCGTCGACGCCAACCCCCCCCAAGGCAATGAAGTTTTCCCGTGGGCGTCAACATTATCTGCCCGCCGTGGCGACCCTAAATCCTTGACAGTTGGGCCCTGCGCAGCTGTCCATCAACCGAGCTAGCCCTTGCTCATCCAGAGCTGCTCGACGCTTGGAGTGGCGAATGGTCCAGCCTGTCGTGGAGTCTGGGCCTGGGTGGTTGGTTGGCTTCAGAAGCTGCTCCCATGCGCACCTCTCAAGCAAGTGTCGGTCAACCAAGAACGACATGTCGCCCGTCGATCGATCGCATCGCGGGAACTCGCTGGTCGGTGGTACACTGATTCAGGGAAAGCGAACGTGTCCATTGCGAACGGTTTTGAGTTCGCTAATGCCACACGGTGTGCAGGCAGTCGATTTCATTCGCAGCAATGCACGCCTTGGCCAGTTTGGCCGACCTAGCACGCACCGCCGTACGTCGCAACCAAAGACGGTCAGTCGCTTGTTTCCGTTCTCTGCTGCAAGAATCCGGCGTCCTGGACGCGCCATGCCGATCGCAGGCACCACGTCTTCGTGCGGATATCTAAAATCGAACAACGCTTCGGTGCCTAAACTTCTTGTAAACGAACCGACTTGGTCGCACCCTATCGGCTACCGACGCATCGCAAGTCGTCATGGTAGTGGTGGTGCGCGCGGCTGGCCATGCACTGGTGTTGATGCAGCTGCATGCACATGCGCTCGACTACGACTACGAAGGGTACCCGTCCCGGAGCGGCGTTGCGGCCTGGATCGATGTCGATACCCCACTCGACGTCCGGACCAAAGTGTCGTCGCGGGGAGAAGTGTGGGATCTCGTCATGAGCGACGAGTTCGAAATCGACGGGCGAACGTTCGAAGCGGGAAAGGACCACCTGTGGACGGCGCTGGACATCCCGGACGGCGTCAACGCTGCCATCGGGCTGTACAACTCGTCCAACGTGTACACGAGAGGTGGCAAGCTCATCAACCGCGTCGATGAAGGACCGACGAACGTGACGTACTTTAACCAGTGGCTCGAAGTCCCTGCCATGGAAACAAACACACTGGTACGGTCGACCGTCGCCAACGATTTTTGACATGGTGGCGGTAGCACTACGCAGCTGGCATGATGCAGTCGTGGAACAAGTTTTGCGTGCAGGGCGGGCTCATCGAAGTGGCGGCCAAGTTGCCCGGCGCCGTCAACGACGTCCCGGATGATGTCCACAAGAGCGTCACGACAAACCCGAACGCGGTCGGCGAGTTCTGGAAGGACGGCGTCCGAACGAAACTCACGCCACGAGACCGCATCAAGGACGGCGCGTACTACCCGACATGGCCTGGCATTTGGCTCCTCGGGAACCTCGGCCGCGCGCTCTTCTCGGCCTCGACCACGCGCATGTGGCCTTGGACGTACAACGAGTGCGATGCCGACTTGTCGCCCCATCAAGCGATCTCTGCATGCGACCCGAATCCGGGGTACGGACTCCATCCGAACCAAGGCCGTGGCGCGCCGGAGATCGACATTTTGGAAGGCGGCGGGGTGGCCATCTCGTCGTCGATTCAAATCGCCCCCGGCATGCCAGACAACTACCGTCGCATGCCCACTCAAAAGCCAGACAGCCAGTACTGCGTGTACGGCAAGGCGTGCGACACCCCCGGCGCCAACTTTCCCGACGTCCCGACCTCGGCGTATGCGTATCGAGGCCACCGGAGCTGGTACCAAGGACTCCGGTACGCCGCCAACAACCGTTGCCCCCAAGATCCGACCGAAGTGCAGCAGTACGAGCCGGTGAGTTTGTCTCTTTGATGGACACCATCACGTATGTGGTTGCCAGGTGAAAGCAGCCCAAGTGAACCCGGCCCTGGTCACGAGCAACGTGTACAACAAGCTCCAAGTGAGCGCCGGCCGCGACGCGAATGCAGATTTGGGTCTCATCGACGGCAAGGGAACTCTCCACTGGGGCATCAACTACAACGGGACGTGCTTTCCCGTCGCGAACGGGTACATTGGAGCGTTCTTGTGCGACCCGGATGCAAGGAACCCCAAGTGCGAGACGCCGCGGAAGGACGGCGTCGCCGACACCAACCAAATCCCCAAGTTCCAATACCAAATGGATGCGATTTCGGCCAACTGGGACATTGGCCACGACGCATACACCGAGTTTTACATTTACCAAGTCGAGTGGTGTGGCCGAAGAAAAAAGGACTTTGCTGACGGGTGATGAGGATGCTGTAGGGTGCTGGGCGAGTCGGGGTACGTCCGATGGATGCTCGAAGGCGCGCCGCTGTTTGAGATCCCGTCCGTGACGCTGACCAAGCCGCCGCAAGCCGGACGAGGAAAGCCACGGAACCCGATCAAGTTGCCGATCGAAGAGCCGCTGTACGTCATTTTCAACGTGGCTGTCGCGCGGGCATGGGGTATGTCGATGGCTATCCTTTGGTCTGAGCTGACGATGGCGCATGCGGCTGGCAGGCGCGACTCCACCGAACGCAGACATCGGGCCGTGTCGGGGCAACTCGTCCAAGCCTGTCCCTGGCACGCCCGAGTACAACAAGACGCACAACATTTGCGACTCGTTCCCCATGTACATGGAGATCGACTACATCCGCATCTACCAAGACGTGTCCACGATGGCGCTGGGGTGCGACCCGCCGACTCACCCGACCAAGCAGTGGATCGACGAGCATCTCAAGGACTACACGGATGCCAAGAACCCGATGGTCCGCGTCGACGGCGGCGCCACTTGCAA